TAAAACCTTCCCAGGTTTACTCTACCTTATAAGGATAAAACAAATTAAATCAATATTTGATTTTGCAAACTAGATTTTAGAAGTACTGGTCCCAAATAAGCAGTGAAATGAAGTGGTCAGATGGAAAGAGAGCAGTGCTTCATTCTTTTGGACATCTAATCCCCAGTGCATTCCCAAGAAGTCTGTCCCATTTAAAATAAGTCATTGCTGATGTTCTTTCATGTGCTGTAACTACAGTGTGCCCAGCCATAAATAATGGCTGAGACCAGGACTGCATTTATAGAAGGGACAAAATGAGTTTGTTTCCAGATAAGAAACTTGAAAAGAGAGTGCCGGTTTTAAGAAACGGATAGAGGCAATATCAGTTAAATATTAATAGAAGGAAAAAACCGTATCAGCTGCACAAAGACACAAGAACAAATACATTTGCTGGCATGTCAGATGATCTCTCTGTCTGCTTCTTTCAAAAGCTGATAATGGTTCATGTCACTGGTGCTTTTGGGCCTCACCACAGAACCAAAGTTTACAGTCACTGACTCAAGAGCTTTATGCCTTCAGAATAAACCATTCCATTGGAAATGAGGATGCTGGCTACAATATCCTGAGGCATCACTGGACAAAATGGGATAGCCTAAAAACAGCCAGCCTTGTGTGTACGTTGACAAAGTGAATCTATAGCAGAATCCATCTTTAACACTGGCCTGCAGAGTGCATTTTGCTGTTCCACAGAGAGGCAGGGAAGAGATCAATGAACCTAACACTAAACAGGGTGAAACAACAGTTGCATCAGAAATGTCAGAGTTTCTGTTATTACTCAAATAGTAAACCAGGTAAATATGAGAAAAACCCTCCACATGTTGAAATAACAGCAACTAAAACACTGGTGGAGTCCAACCAGAGGAGTTTTCAAGTGGTGCACCAATGTGCTTCATATGCATTTGTAAAAATATGTAAATCTCAAAATCATTTAAGAAAAAAATGTTGCTTTGTCTTAATTGTAAATAACTTAAAATATTTTTCCTCCTACAATATTAATTAAAATCTGTCAAAATGTATTTCAGTCTTTCTAAACTATTTAGCTCAGTAACTAAGGAAAAAGATAAAGGCTTGTTTCAGCTACAGAGTGGGGATTGTAAAGCCCTGAAACCTCAGAAACGTTCCATCTCTGCATGGAAAGAATGAAAGAAAAGAGGAAACAAGAATCTCCTTTCTCTGAGACAGTAATCTCTACTGAGAATTAATTAATAAACAGAAATCTACCCGACTTCTGATGAGTTTATCAGTGACCTTCCTCACCAGCTCTCCCCTAAAAAGGGCAATATCTGGGAGGTGGCTCTGCAGCACTGAGAATAGTCCTGGCATCAGATGCACGATGAGAATTTGGCTTCCCCAGACACAGTGTTCCCCCACCTTTGTGTCCAACACACCCAGAAACTGTCCATGAGAAAATCAGTGCACCTCCTATTCCCACAGGAGAACGTCTGTGTGGGGCAGCCTCAGTTCCATGTTTGTTTGATTTTTTAATTAAGAAACATCACTACTCGCTATAAAGTGTAGGGGGTAGGGAAATCCCCCAGAGAAACACTGAATAAATAACATGGCATTTGCTGAAGGATGTAGTTTAATCCAATTTAACTTATAGGTCTAAAAATTGTTCCCTTTCAGTCCTGTTTTCAGATGCTTTTGTTTCCTGTTTTTAGAATAGTATGTGTTCAAGGAATGTATCCTGCCTGTATGAGAAGCACGTTTATACATATTTATATGCACACCCCTTCACACCAATACTTGCAAAAAATCCCATTAGTCCAAAAGAGACAGCATTTAGGAGGAAATTTTCAGCACCACAGACACAGATTTAGTTACATACTTTTCATGATCAGCAATGGGAAGGGAGTTATTCCCACCGTGTTAAGAATATTTGGCTTTGACTTCAAACAACGTACAAATATATCAACCTCAATATAATTTATATTCTCTCAAAAGGAACCTAAAATTCTCTAAGCCTTTGCTGAGACATCTGATGTTCCAGTCCCCTCTGTTGCACTGTATGATCGGCTGTTTTATTTCACTTGCAATCCTTGCTTTCCTATGATTTTTTCAGACAAAGAAACAAAATGTCTGCTATATGCTGAGTATAAACACAGCTGACTTGTTTTCCCCAAAGTATCGATTTTATGCACTTTTAAAATAACTATTTTCATTCTGTTTGCATAATCAGCTGGGGCATTGTTCCTCTACATTTGCAGAAACACAGATGGAATTGCTGATTTGGAGCCTTTGGAGAGATTTTATAGTATTCTCTAGAATCTAAGCTTCTATTAAAATAAGGTTTCAAGCACTTCTGGTTGTGAAGATAGCCTGGACAATGTAATTTGATGCATGGTTATCTTGTTGAGTCCACAACCAGACAGACAGACGCAATAGCACCAAGGGAGCTGTGAACTTCCCCCACTTATTTTATTGGGTGTTTACTTGGGGCCAGATGCTCCCCTCTGCTGTGCAGAACAGCGTTAAATGACTGAAAAAAAGAGAGGAAAAGGAAATGGAAATAAAAACCAACAAAGAGGAGAAAAGGAAATCCCCACAGCCCACTTCCCAGGGGGCTACAGATGCCCTCCCTTGCCAGTATTAGACTGCTGGAAGAACTGGGGCTGAGCCATGAATATTTTCATTTTTTTTTGAAAGACACTCTATTTTCCAGAAGAATGTCATCTGAAAAGTTAATGATGCTTCCAGCATCATTTACTCTTTTGCTTTGTCTTTTCTACTCTTTTTTATGTCAAACTCATATAGGTAAGCAAAAATGTAAACACAGGACCATTTTAAATGACACAGCAAGAGGATGGCTCTCCCATTTATTGCCACCGCATTTAAAATTAGCAATCCCATTTTCCAAAGAACTTAGGGTCTGCCCTTTTGCGAGAAAGCTAAAACATTTTCCTTGTTGAGTGTATGTTTTTCCATAAGGCACCTTTTCATGTTAATAAAAATCAACTGCTGTATGACAAATCCCTGTTACATAAGGAAAGTAAAATCAAAGGAAACATGACTGAATGCAACTAACAGCAAGCACATTACTTGATCCTTAAATCAGTCTGGAGAGAAAGGGTCTGTATCTTTCCAGCATCAAAGCAATGTAATCCCTCCTGCACCACTCCTGCTGGCTGCAAACACAAACCACCCCCAGAATCCCCCAAATTCCATCAGGACCAAAGCAAGGGTGACCCAGAAGGGGCAGCACTTGGGAGCTGAATGGATCTGCAGACCTTAGACGTTTGTAGTAACCACTGTGCAAGGACTCCACGTGTGATTTTACACAGATCAGTCCCTTGTGCATGCATGGCTCATAAGGGAGAGTGACACCAAATGGAGATCCTGCCCCAGAAACCACCTGGATCCTCTCAGATTCTTACTAAGATGCACCTCCTGTCTGCTTAGCTCCATTTCAGTGAATTTGCACATTTCAATAGCCAAAAGGAGATTATGATAGATGGATAGCAAACACCACATGTGAGATGCTAACAACGCCAAGACTCTTTCAAGATTAAAATTAAAATCTTGTTTATCATTATAACTTGAGGCATAAATACATGTGTATACATACAGACATCTCTCTGTTTATACATATATACATATATGTACTCCCACATATAAGAGGAGCTTATACCACATCTTCTATCGAGAGCTATGGCCTTGAATGCCTAAGAGGCTTAGGAGACAAAGAAACAAACAAAACTAAAGGTTTATTGTGCTGTAGAACGACATTGTCTTCCCTGTGTTGTGCACCTTGGCTGTAGCCTGCAACCAGAATGTTTATAACATATATTGGAACTCCTACTGTAAGAGCAATGCAATCCTGTGGGCTAAAACACAGTTTCTTTAAGGTCAACATGAGGTGAAACGAACACAGGAAGGAACAAATAATAGGGAAATGAGAAAACAGATACAAGATAGGCCCAAGAAGAGGAAGTAGGAGTTTAGGAATAAAAAAAGGAAAGCCTCATGTAACTAATCACATTTCAAACACTGCAGAATTTCTCCATGGCTGCTGCTTTATTCAGTGATATTTTATGGATAAATCACTACAAAAATATACCACCAAAAAAAATTCCAGTGCTAGCAGAGAAATAGACTTGATATCCCAGGAAAAGCTACAGTACATCCAGCCACAAAAAAAAAGATAAAATAATACGGGAATAATATGCTCAACAAGCTGTTTCTCTACAAGCGGAGTAAATCTTTCTGACTACCAAGCAAGACCTCAGATTTTTTTCTACTGCCCTTTGCATTTCAAATAACTGCAAACATTATATAGATATTTGAAATGTGCTTTTCTACTTTCACTTGTAAATAATTTCCATTGCCCAATACAATGTGAAGAAATATATTTCTCACTTTCAAGTTCAGCATCACTATACTTCAAAATTTTTGAATTAAGGCAATTCTGCAATATTTTTTAAAACCAATGAAAACTCCAGTACAGACTGGATGATGATTTAAAGTTACTAGACTAGAATATATTTTAGTTTATGGAATATGATTGCATTCAATCCATTTAAACACAAGATGAAGTACATGCATCTGATCCTGGCCTACATTCACAGCCATTATTTTCAGAAGTACTTACAAAAAGTGCAAGATTCTGATCTATAGCATCCTATCAGTGGACTTGAATTCTCTCAGCACTGTGAACACTTATTCACCCTAATGAGCACCAAAATGCTACTAGCAGGCAAAACCTAAAACGTCTATTGCAACAAATGCACACAGCTCTTCATCATACTTCTGTGGTTAAAAGATCTTTCTGACTGCAATATCAATGACTTTAAACCACAGACTAAGACTTTAGACCTTTTGGTGGTGCCAACTCACTTGTTTTATATGCTATGATATACAGTCCTGGCTTTGAGCTCCCTCTCTCACTACTGATGCTTTTGATGCTTTGTTCTCTTTTTACTTTAGAATGGAAAATAAAAAATAATGCTGAGTTCTCTTCTTACTCTTGAATTCTTCTGATGTCTATCTTCAGAACTCTTCTAACATCCAATTTATGTCATTCTTTTTCTTTCTTATGCTGTGAATTTGAAACGAAAGAAGGTAACATAATATCGTAAGATCTACGGACGACGAAATGGCCTTCAGAGTAAACTTCAGAGTTATTCGTAAAACTACCTGGCCTCCACAGAAAGTAAAAAATTGCTTTGCAATAGATAATGCAACTACTCCTGAAATTCTTCTTGAAGTTATTGCCACAGGGAACAGCCCAAACATAATAAAGTATATGGTGCTAATGCCTTACAAGTAGTTCAGATGGGTTATTCTGTTAGCATTTGCAAGGCACAATTCAAATTCATTTATGTGCTTACTCTTGACTTATTCTTTACCATGAAATGGTAACAAAACCTGAAGTTTTCTAACAAGAGAGGCTAACATCTGCTGTGCTGAGTGACCTGCAAGGCTACTGATGTTATTTTATCATATGATTCCTCCTAAAACACCACATCAGAATTCCAAAGACCTCCTATATTAGTTAATTAAGGACCTGATTCAATCTTCTCTCAGTTCTGAGTGAAATGCATAGTCACACATTTAAATCTCACTTAGTTCAGTGGAACTTTCAAATATATTTTGGGTTCAGCACAGGTTGAAAAGCCCCACTGTGTAGGGCCTGGGAGGTGATCCCTGCATCGCTGCTAAAGCACAGCCACACACATGTACAGGATTATCTGAAACATCTCTTAAGGACCTGAGGCAGCCATCCTATCCCTACCCCAAACCCTCTCTGCATTTAGTCCCTAGTCCTTGTGCTGCACTGAACGTTCTAACCCATGGGCAAAAATCTGCTGCAAGTTCCCTGAAGTAATGCAGGTAAAATCAGTAACCTACCGAAGGAACTTCTCAGGGGTTTCTGTCAAGTAACCTACATTACACTCTCAGGTTCAAACTCTGTGCATAATGCAATTTTCTGATGTCAAGGAAACAGAAATCTTTTGTTATTGGGTGCCATTTACTGTCCATCCTTCCATATTTTGTGCAAATTCATGGAAAATCAAGATATACATCATGGAAAGTATCCATTTCACTACAATCACAAGAGACCTACTGTTTTGTCATCCTTTGTTCTGTGTCTGCTAAAGAACAGTTATTTAAACTTTATAAAAAGTGGGTGATTTTAACCTTCTATACGTTTTATTTTGTCTAGGAATGTTTTATTTCAGACTCCATTTTTCCTAGTTTATAGGTTGCCAGCTGAGCTTCCTTACAATGAACTGCTGATGAAATTTCTTTTCTCTTCCTGTTAAAAGAAACACTGCTTCCCTGAGTATGCAACTGACCTAATATCCCTCCTATGTTGTTTGCTTTTTCAAATAATATTGTGATCATATCAATCTACAATGCAATGTGGTCACCTTTTTCTCTGCTGAATGCTATTACTCCAGCCTGTCATAATGCCAAGAAGTGAATGTAAACTTTAAGGGCTTTGGCAGTAGCTACATAATCCTCCTCTATTCAGTCCAAACAGCAGGTGTCCCTTTTTCTTTTTTCAATTCTTAAGTGCTCCTGAGGAGTTATTAATCTGTAGTTTGTATTTTTCAGATATGTGCAGCTCTACATGGAAATTTTACCCTCTATCCTGCTCACTGAAGTGCCAGTAGGAGTATCTAGGGGAGTTAATGACACTCCTCAGGAAGATGAGTTCTCTTAGACCTTCTCCTACAGAGTTTGTCCTTTGCACTTTCACTTGAGCTTTTCCAGCATTTCAGCACGATTGAGCAGAGAGGACACTGCTGCCTGCCCGAACACTGACAGGCCTGGAGTAGCTATTTCTGATAACAGCTATCAGCTTCATCTCCCTTCTCCACAACATCATGACTTCCTCAGTTTACCTGATATTGGCTTGTCTGCACAGCCAGGGTGAAACACTGGTGAAATCACACTATAACCACCTGTTCATTTCAGGCCCCTGAGGAATGCTCCATGCACTTCTTCCTCTTTTTCCAAGTTCCTCCTGACAAGATATTAAAAAAATATTGTTCATTTTTATTTGTCTCATGATTTAAACTAGGCACCAAGCTTCCTGATATATTTATAACCTTTCTAACTAGAAGGCTTTAAATACCTTCAAGAGAACACTTTTGCATTTTGACAACTTCAGGCTCTAAATGGCAACAAAGTGTGTTCTTCGTTCCTGAATTTTAGGAATTAAATACTTTACTATCAATGTAAAAACCTCACTTGGCAGAAGTCAGCTAGGGCTGTGCCACCAAGCTTTTAGCAGTGTTCAAATCTGTTTTTTCTCAGCTTGTTCCAGAGCTGAGACACAGACAACATCCACCTTTGCACACAGCCTCATAGAGATATTGATGTCTGGCACTATGTTGGGCAATTAACTCAGAAAAAACTGAAGAACTCTGTGGCCCAATAATGCTGATTTGAATTCTGGAGACTATAGACTGTTAGAGCATTGCTATCATGCCAAGGGAGATGGAGTGCTCCTGGGATCTATAGGCTCTGTAGCAGATTACCAGGCAATAAAAAATCTGGTACAGGACTCATTTGACAGATAACTTGAATATATAAAGCATGACAATCAGTGCACTTTTTCTGGAAAACAAATATTGATGGACAAACAAAATGAGAATAAAATGGAATAGCCTTGTTTCCAGCCTTTTAGAAGTAGGTTGAAGAAAACAGAGAAAAGAGACTGAAGACAGGTGAAAAACACATGATAATGGTTTATTCAATTTGCCTCACTTATCAGATTTATAAATGATAAATTGAAGGGAACTATCTTGTATGGAAGAGCTCTCTTGTCTAGCAGTGGGGGCTGAAATTTGAAAAAGAATCCAGAGAAATTACAATATATGTGTTTTTTACAATGAAGTCAATCACACACTGGGAAAAACTGTTAAAGGAATAGAACATTTCTCATTTCTGACATCTTCAAATCAAGAAAAGATTCCTGCTTGGAAACTATGCAGTTACACAAGCATAAAGCAACAAAATTTAGTAGCTTGTGATAGAAGTCAAAACAGCTGACATAAAAATCCAAAATACAATGATGCTCAAACTTTTATATATCCATTCTTTAATAAGCTTACTTTGAATAAGACTTTCAAACCTCCTTGTAATAGATCTTACTATAAAATTATACATTCTAAGTGAAAAAGATACTCCAGGAGAAGGAAAGAAGACAGAAGAGTTCTCTTTTCAAAGTCCCAAAAGAATCAGTTTAGCCTTTGAACTCAGCACCACTATGGAGAGAAAACCCTTATGTGAGGAAAAAAAGCCTTTTAGGAAGATTCATATTCCCCATTCCCTTGCAGTTTTTATAGACAGGTATAAGTCTAATATTTAATATACACAGGTTTAACTGAAAAGAGAATTGGCCAGAAGGTATGTACACACACATAAATTTATTTAGTATTACATTTTGTGATGTAATTTATGAACATATAACCAAACAGCATGTTTATACCTTCACTTACTTATTTCCTCTAAAGACATCATGGAATCACCAAAAATACAAGGTCACATTGAATCAAAGGACATCATCTTGCTTGTTCAGAATATCATTATGGAAGAAACAGGAAAAGCAGCTGTATTACACGTTGCCTTTCCAGCTCTCAAAAACAAACTATTAATGGAGAAAGCAAGTCCTTTACGGTACATTACAGGACCAAGGTCACCTGGGAAGCCATAAAGCCTCACTGGCTACCCACAAGACCAACTTGATTAGTCCCAGTAACCTTCTGCCCTTGCAGAGGGACTGATGGAAAAACCAGTTTTTCAGGAGGCTGCTGACTTGGTGGTCTCACTCTTTGGGTGCAGTTGCACAGATGAAGGGCCTGAGATTCACCTGGAGCACTAAGCCACACTCACTACTGGCTGCTGGAATTACCATGAGCATTATCATTGCATTGATAATCACAAATTCTCTAAACATGAAGACAGTGTAAACTCAGAGTCCATGTCAAGACTTCTGCCAGCTAAAGAGGAGCATAACTTTGGCACAGCAACCAGGAAGGAAATGTTCTTGGAAATAACCTGTAAACACATGCCAGCCACTTTAAAGCACTGTCTTTACAATACAGACTAAACCCATGCTTTCCATTTGTGCCTAAATTACAAACTCTGTGTGTTTTCCCTGCACTGAATCCTCCCTCATATTCCCACAAGAGCAAGCAGTTTGACTTATTAAAACATAATTAACTCACTACAAAACAAATTACATATATAATATGAAGTGTATTAGAACCCAGTGCAGTTTCCCTCTATATTATGACTGAATAATCAACTGCTTTAGAATGCTGGTGCCCACTTCACTGCATCACAACTGGTTATTGTAAACTTGCAGACTGCCAGAACCTCATAAAATAAGGTGATACGGAAAAGAGAGGGGGAATCTCTAGGTTGTAGCCACTTCCACACCAATATTTGGTTTCAGATTCCCTTTATCACATCCCATGTACAAGTGAATAACGAAGTTCTTTCCATAAGCTCATTTACCATAAGCCCTTTGAAGATATTTTGTTTGTCATGAATCTATGAAAAGCCCTGTGAAATTCTTCCTGTGTTGGTCATGGTAAAAATATGGTATTTTCACCATAATTTTCCCAGTAGAATTCTACAAATTTAGGCACAAACAGTGAATAAGCGGGTGTGGTTTATTCTATGATTTTTGGGGGGTTATTTGTGAGAAAGAAGCAAATATTGAATAATGGTAAGACAGCATACAACTTTTACAGACTTTCTGTGTAACTTCTGACTCTGTCCCCAACTTTGAATACGATCTGGGGTATCTCATTTAACTTTATGGTGCTGCGGTGTTCTGAGCCATAAAGAATAAAACCATAGAAACCATAGTTCCATATCAGTAACTGATTAAAGGATGTTAGTTGTGCTTAATTGTTTGGCTTTCTGTTCCTTAAAGCAGTCTGCACTTTAAGGTGTTCACTGTATGTACCTCTAAAGATAAATCAGCTGTGAGTTCAGGCAATCAGGACCTATACGAGACAGACCTGAAATTGCCATTAATGTTACTTATGGAGTTTATAAATGTTTTATCAGCAATAGTTAAAGCTGCCACCTGAAAGGAAATGCAGTTTTGCATATTCCTATAAAATTCTTTTATTTAAAGAGCTATACAATTAATTTAAAGTTCTAACTATATACAAACAAAGATACTTATTTCAGTCTTATTCTAAACCAGTGGAAAATTAGGACAGCTTTTAATTTTGGTAATTAAAAATGTTTATTTCTGAAAACTAGTAATTTTGAGCATGTAAGTAAGCACATATGTCATTTATGAATAATTCCTCTTATTTCATAATTATTATGGATATAAAAAGGGTCTTTCTTTGATAAAGGCTAGAATAACTGAAGTAATACAAATGATTTGCTCTAATTCTCTGAAAAGTTGAAGTGAAGCAATAGCTTTATATATGTCTCTATGCCTTTTGAAATAACTTTTTCTATTTCCAAGACAGCTTTTTTGCATTTTTCTACAAAGTATTTAATTTAGTTTTAGTTGTAATAAGGGCATATCAAGTGCTCCAGTAGAGAGTATTTACCTGTAAACTCATCTCCTTCTAGGGCATATTTAACTACTTTCTATGGCCTCATCACTGCTCTATCCAAACACCAAACCCCCTTCTGGTGTCACAGGAACATGTTCTCACTGCATGGGAAATCAGTACCTGAACTAGTCAAGAAAAAAAATAAATTCTAAAATCCTATGCACACTATGCTTACTGAAAAAGCACTTATTAAGCTTATTTTAAATAATTTATAATGTTTCCACTTATCCACAATCTCTTCTGGTGAGAATGAGCACAGTGACACCACATTGTCTATCAGAGCTACTCACAGGCACAGTTTCAGTTTATAGCATGATGCAAAGGATATTTACAGCAAATGCTCAATCACCTTAAATTCAAATACACCAGTCTAAAGTATTAGAATTTATCACATAATATTTTATGTATATTAATATCTGTTTAATATTTTCCATCATACTTTATATTTTCATTGAAATTGTCTAATTTCTTCATTAGAAACAGAAACTACTGTGAAGTGTGATCATTTTACAGGTAATAAATAATCATATTTCATATTTAAATTTCCTAGAAGAGATGCACAGTCCAGATTTCATACTAGTTCTAGCCTGCCTCAATCAAACTGATTTATCTTCAAACTTTACATCAGTTTTACACTAGCACAATTGAACAGAGTTTAATGGTCAGTGTTATTTACAACTTAAACAAGAATTGAGCTCACAGCATTTCTTTTCATGAGGCAGACACCTTGTCCAAGGATTCAGTACAAGTTCATGCTTCCAACTCCACGTGTGTTTATGCAGATGAATGACACACATATTTTAAAAAGTCATGCAAATTACAAGAACAGATGCCATTTAATCTGGGTTGAGTTTTTAACCCCTCAAAAGACAGGACATGTGGATTGTTTAATGCAGTCCCATCAGAGTACAGCATGAGCTTGACTTATAAGAAATTTCAATTAGTTATTCTTTGCTTTCAGGTACTGTAGCCACTACAGCAATTCTACTTTAATTCTATCTGACTTCAATTGTGTTCAAATTATAGCAAAAAGGAAGAAGACAACAAGCTGTAAATATGAAAAGAGACAGAAAATCATTGAGAATCATGCCTTTATGAATATTTGATGAAGAAAGGTTATATCTACTGCTGGTAAATTACTAGAAATTATGTCCATCATGTGACTCTGTCAGCAAAGGTTAATACAAATAGGTTTGGATTTAGTTGAGATGACAAGGAGGATTAAAAAAGATTTGTCCTGTCCTTGCTGCAATTAGTTTTTCTCCCATTATTATTGTAACAGAGTTTATTGTTAGGATTATGGTAACAGAACCCCCACTCAATGAAATCATTTTGTTTTTCATAATTCTGTGCCACTTTTGCAATAAATTTTTCATCTCTCCTAATCTACCTCTTTATTGCACATTTGGTGAAGTGGAGAT